TTGGATGGGAGACCGCCTGGGAACACCGGATGCTGTAGGCATTGTTCTTTTTTTCCATTCTCCAATTGGGCATCCCTTTTCCGTCGACCGACAAGCTATTATTTTGCCGGCTAGTCATCTTTACTGACCGAAAAGACGAACTTTTCCCTTACCCTTTTCATTGAAAAAAAGCCTTTCTTGACACTTTTTCCTTTCAAGACGCTCACTACAAGTGGGCCACGAAAAGACCCTCTAACGCCTACGGCCATATCACGTTGAGTACACCCGATCTCGTTCGATCTCGGAAGTTAAGCAACGTAGAGTCCGGTCAGTACTTGGATGGGAGACCGCCTGGGAACACCGGATGCTGTAGGCACCCCCCTAAGTACTTATTCTTGAGGCCGGGGATCAGCAAATCCCGGGAAAAAGGATCGAACCTTACCTCTGCTTGGATTTTTCTAAAATAGGCTCTGGGGACTGAAATCGAAGAGGAAAATTGACCAAAATGATGAGAAAATGACATGACTCTGCCCTTCTTCATGAATTTGAAAGAAAAAGTCTCAAAATGACAGTATTTGTGAGCAAATGCAAGGTGGTTTCTCTCTTAACTCTAACTTAAGTATTGGACCAGAAGGAGAGAGGTATACTTTGAAATTGAGTGCAGTGTTTTACTTGAAGTGTCGGCAACCTTTTTTCAATACTGCATACAAGTCCTAGATAGTGCTGTTGACATTTCAAGACTTTGTTATAACAAACATTCTTACGATAAATTACAGCTTCTTCATGAAACCTGAAAAGTTTGCAAAAAAGTGATAATTAACGTTCTCACATTTGTTCAAGGTAATAATCATCATTGTCGTCATCGCCGCTAACGCCTGTCGACATTGCGGACCACCACTGCTTTCCACTCTCTTCTGTCCTGTGCCTGTCATAATCATGTCCTCGAAAGTTCTATTAGAATCTATCTAATAACGAGAACCTGAACAGGATGAAGAGAATTCTGGTTCTGCGGCACTTGGAGATGCCAGCTACCCTTAGGCAGCCCCCCTTGGTCAGAACTTAGAACCCTTCTTTCCTTGTTCAGGTTACGGTGGCTGTCCATGTGCTGTATAAGTTCTGTTGCAGGTTACGGTGGCTGTTACAGTGGCTTTCTATGCGCTGTATGCTGTTGCAGATAAGGTGGCTGTTACAGTGATTGTCCATGTGCTGTATAAGTTCTGTTGCAGGTCAGGGTGGCTGTTACGGTGACTATCCATGTGTTGTATACTGTTTCAGGTTATGATGGCTGTTACGGTGGCTGTCCATGTGCTGTATAAGTTCTGTTGCAGGTTACGATGGCTGTAACAGTGGCTTTCTATGTATTGTATGCTGTTGTAGGTTATGGTGGCTGTTACGGTCGCTGTCCATGTGTTGTATAAGTACTGTTGCGGGTTATGGTGGCTGTCCATGTGTTGTATACTGTTGCAGGATATGGTGGCCATTACGGTAGCTGTCCATTTCTTGTATACTGGTGCAGCTTGTGGTGGCTGTCCATGTGTCCTCACACATCACACGTATACTCCTTTGGGTTTGGGGCGTGAAGCTTCGTGTGCAGGGTCAGGTTTAACTCCACTGTAAAAGGAAAACAGAAACAGATAGTTATTACATGTACCTAATGTTACAATGGCTACATGGTGTAGTTCAGTTTGTATATAGGTCTAAACTCTATCAGTTGTCAAACTACTAAAAGGCTGTCAATAGACATGTAACGTTTGAACCTCTTTGCTTATATACAATATCAGCATGGGCTCCCATGGAAATCAGTCTAATTGACTGACGGGACGACCCCCTCGTTTATATGATGAATAAACTAAAATCATGAATATAATGCTTGTACATATACATAAGGAAATACACCCTACGAATCCGTTTCAAATTGCAGTAGGAACAAGTCAAACACGTACATCATTTACACAGAGGATTTTTCTATATTTCCACAAAGCTACGGCATGTCATTGATTAACAATCTAAGTGAAACTTGCCTCATATTATTGGCAGTTCTGTTCAAATACATACTAGTAGTACCACCCCAATCAGCATCTCTTAACTATGGCATTTTGGACGATAGACGTTGGCGTTTGTCAGAAAACCAGTCGCCAGTGAAACATCCACACCTAGACATCTTCGTGCACAACCGAATGACATTTAAAAAGAGCCAAGAATGGAGAAGATTGGACTTACCTGAGCAAAATTACAGCGTGATGACTTTTGCTAAAATTGCAGAGTAACACGGCCAAATCCCCATTTATAAACAATGGGAGTTTCGACGAAGAGAAGTTGTCAATTTTCACAAAATCTAGAGACGCGGCAAAAACCAAAACTAGGTGGCTATGAGCTTCACCAAATTCCCTACAAAATGACACCAAAACCAAGAAGATTGACCTTACCTGAGAGACAGGATGGCAGAAAATGTGCCTCGCTTCGATCGCCGATTCAAGACGGCCGCCATTTTTGCTGGTGACCCCAGCGTGAACTCTGACATAGAGGGGTCGCGCAACCTGATTGGCCCGTTGAGCAGGTAGAGCTGCTCAACGCTGCTCAATGATTGGTCTGTTGAGCGCTGAACTTGCTCAACGTCGCTCAACCATTGGCTAAAATAGGTACTTGTCTGTGAGCTCGCCTGGGAACGGCGAATGCGCCCCCTAAGTACCTATTCTTGAGGCCCGGGATCAGCAAATCCCGGGAAAAAGGATCGAACCTTACCTCTGCTTGGATTTTCGAAAATAGGCTCTGGGGACTGAAATTGAAGAGGAAAATTTACCAAAATGATGAGAATATGCCCTAAATTTGCATTTCTTTATAAATTTCAAACGTAAAGTCTGAGAATGGCAGCATTAGTGAGCAAATGCAAGATAATTTCTCCCTCAATAACTTAAGTATTGGGCCGAAGAGAATAATACTGCCATGGCTATGTTTTAACTTAATTAAAGGAAGAGAGACCATAATAAACGTTCATACACTTTGATACCGAAAACTCAAGTCTATTTATTTCTGACAGCAAGTTACACATTGTCTTGTGTATGTTTAAAACTAAGTCACATACAAACTTTTTTCTCAAATACAAACCTTAAAATACATTTGAAAAAAAGATGAGTTCAGTTTGTAATACAAAAATACAAAGAACTGTCATGTACTCTTCAAAGTACTCTTCAACACAATTTCAAAAGTTCATGAAGTACTATAAAAATAGATATGAAAATACACAAGATATGTAATCTGTTTCACTGCCGTGTACAAAAAGACTCCTCTTGTATAGTTGTCTTGGTTTGAAAAAAAAATAAAGTCCTTTACTTGAAAGGTCATCAACCATTTTTCAATACTCCATAAGAGTCCTTGATAGTCCATTTCAAAGCAAACATTCTGACCTTTTTACTTCATAAAAATACAGCTTCTTCATGAGCCCTAAGACATTTAGAAACAAATGATAAGTAACATGTTAATATCTGTTTGAGGTTATAATCATGAACTTCACATTTCATCCTACAATCTACAGTCATAACAATACAAAAAATAAAATAGTACTTTTGCCCTGAGGATGTCTGGCAAAATGTGTTCACAGTGACACTGATTGGAATGTTTTTCAGTCCTTTCAAGATCCTTTCAAGTCCTTTCCTCCCTTTCAAGATGAAGTTATCAAACTCAACATAACTGACTACTATCTAGCTAGTTACAACTTTCACTGAAATGCAAAAGAACACAACTTTCACTGTGTAGTGCCGTGCTCACTGCTGGCTCTCCTCTTTTCCAACACTCCGTCTACCACAGTTTTGAAGTGTTCATAATCTGTGTAGACCACACCCTCGAACCCAGCGGTAACTGATTTTCTAGTTACTGGACAGTATGTGAACATCTTCTGACTGCTTCCAGCTGTTTTGTTTTTTGACGGAGTGTACCGCTTCCTCTGCCCACCACATCGTGGCAAGTTGCATGCTGCACAGGGCTTGAAGGACTTGTGAGGTTTCACAGGTTTTGCTTGCAGTGGAGGAGGTGGTGCTTGGGGTACACAGGAAGCCCCTTGAAGCACCATGGTTGGGGCCTGTGGCTGTGCTGGCAGGACAAGTAGTACAGGTGCGGCTGACACTCTTGGTGGTAGGAAGGTTGTCACAGCAGGTTTAGGCTGGATGGGGCAGTTGACCCTCTCCGTCTCCTTCGTATCCAATCTCCTCTTCTCGGCCCGTCTGCTCCCAGTTTCATGGTGGCGCTGCTCATACTGCACCTGTCCCGTTTTTGGTGTGGGTAGTGATGTAGGGAGGGTCGCCGCATCCGGCATCGGGGCATCTGCCAACACCCTCTCCTTCGTCTTCACATTGGGAACGCGAGTCGCTGTGTAGTTGGCCTTCTTCTCCTCCCTCTGCATAAAGCTTGTAATGGACTTTGCATTGATGTTTGGCAGAGGGATGGAGAGTTGGCCGAGTTCTGGGTCATCTCTCACTCTGTCTGTGATTCTTTTGTACTGGGACTTGATGACATTAGCGACTTTTGTGGGTGAAGAGAGGTGACTTGCAGGCCTATTCTTGAGCATTTTGATGACGAGGTATAACAGTCGGCTATCCTCAGTTACCCGAGCAGCTTGGGGGTACCTCATCCAGCCAAACTTTGTCTTCTGGGCTCCTCTTGTCTCCGGTGTGTCAGGACCAAGACACCTGCCGAACAATGTGTAACTCCACCTGGATTCGTACTTCCTCACAAAGTTGACAGCAGACTTGTCGTGGTCCTGAAGAGAATTGGCAGCGGTGACAATCTTCTTCCTGAGGACAGCAGGCACGAGGTGGTGGTCAGTGTCGTCTGCCAGTTCTAGCAGGAGCAGGGCCAGCGCTTCCACTTGCTCTATGCCGGGGAGATGCAGATGGCTGTACTTCATCATAACATCCTGCAGAGCAGGGCTCTCCTCCTCCTCCACCCGCTCTACATGTGTCAGGGTGACAGTTGTGCTAATGTCGTCGATAGGATCGGCAGACATGTCGACACCCTCATCAGCTGCATGCTTCTCCTCTTCACTTTCCTCAGTCATCTCCTCTTCACCGTCCCCACCTTCACCTTCACCTTCCTCACGGGACTGCTCTTCCTCAACTGGAAATACAAATGCATGTATTTTACACGTGTCATGGCATTTACAAAACCATCTGTGCTTTTTGTTGCTTCAAAAGACACTGACAATAACTTCTTCTACTAACATTGATAATGCTTACTTCATATGTTTTTTCTGTTGTGTAACTGTGTGATGACCTACCTTTCTCTGCATAGTAGCCTGCAGAAGTGAAGCTGGTTGATTGGCAAAGCGCATATTCGACACCAAGGAGCTCCTCCTCCTCCGGGTCCTTGTATTCCTCCGGGTAGGGCATAGGAGCTGCAAAGTTGGGCTCTAATAGATGCTCTTTGCCAAAGAGCATCTGTAGAAAGAAGGGGAGAAGAGTTTAGAGAGGAGGACATTGAAGGCAAACAGAGATTTGTTGTTGCTGATGAAAGTCATACTTCTTTCCACTCTGTCTATCTGCTGTTACAGTATCACCCACCTCGGCCTGCTGGTTCATGCGCTGGATCTGCCGTGCATCCACACACGACGTCCGCCGACCCTGACCACCAGCCACGCGGAGGGATTCCATCTGGGCGTTCCATTGGACGGCGAAGGCAATCAGATACACCTGAAACACATGAACATATTTGACATGTTATTGTACGTGATCAGCAGAGATGACAAAATAAAGCTTAGCAGTATGATGGATTTCTGAGTGGGTTGCAGTGCTTTTAATTACTTACTTGGAATGGCATTATGCCGCAGCGTTTGGAAGGGACAGCGTTGTACATGTGGGAGTGTAATCCCTCCAGGGAATTGCTCCCTCGTCTGCACCGGTACCGGTTCAGCTTGACACCATTTAGGATGACTTCCTTCATGGCGACATACAGCTGAATACGGAGAGGATCCTGTAGAAAACATCACATGATAAATAAAACATTATAACTATGCCAGGACGATATCACAATTTCTAAATGACAAAAGAAATTCAGGATTAACTTTAAAGACACAAACTCACCTGCATACAGCTGAGATGCTTGCTGTTGAATCATGTTTACGTAATAATGGCACAGGAATCATGGGTCTGTCCTTAGTGCTGAAATAAGGGTACAGTAACACAGCGGCTGTTTACGTAATAATGGTACAGGAATCATGGGTCTGTCCTTAGTGCTGAAATAAGGGTACAGTAACACAGCGGCTGTTTACGTAATAATGGCACAGGAATCGTGGTGCTGTCCTTACTGCTGAAATAATGGTGCAGAAACAGCGGGTATTCCTGTAATAATGGTGAAGGAATCATGATTTTGTCCTTAGTGCTGAAATTATGGTGTAGCAACACAGGCGCTGTTCCTGTGATAATGGTGAAGAAATAACTCTTCTGTCCTTATGTCTGAAATAATGGTACAGTGTAATGGAGTTAAGAAGAATCAGAAGAATATTGAAATATTCAAAAGAAATGTGGACAGATCATCGTAATTTTTGGTCTATGGGTCGTTTAGTGTTGCTTGGCACAATGGTAATAAATTGCTTAATCAGAGAAAATTCTCTAACTCTAAGAAATTCTGTGAAGTTAATGAACTTATCGTTTAATGCAACATTCTCAATCAACTTTCTTCATAATTACAAATTATGTTCAATGGTTCAGACGGTTGATCATGATATTGAAAATAGGGATGCATTCATCTGTGACTGCATGTCGATGATAGTGAATGGGTCAGTCTTTATCAGATAATGCATTGTCCATCATAAGTTATTAAGGAACTGCATGTTTATTACCCACAGTGTTCCCCCAACCCTTGTGAAAATGGAGGAGTGTGCATGGCGTCAGCCGACCGTCGTTTCGCAGAATGTGATTGCAAACCAGGATTTGTAGGGACATTCTGCCATGTTCAACTTGTTTGTTTGTTTGTTTTGTTTGAGCCTTTATTTCAACTCGATCTGTTACTGTGTTACATGCTCTAATCGGCCGATTTTCATAGAGGTCGAGCGTGGAGGAGTGTCAAGGGGTCATAACATAAATACTACTTGCTCACAAATGAAAACACAAAGTAATAATTGTTGTACACAAGGTAACTCACACAAAGTAAATAAATAAACAAATTACAATAACTAATGAATAACTCATAAGTCGTTGTGTCCAAAGTCGTTCAGTCAAAGTCAGTTACAATGCTAGCAGTCTTTTAAAGGTTCTAAGAGTAGGTGCTGCTCTAACATGCTGCGGAAGAGAGTTCCATACAAGGGAGCCAGAGTAGGCTAGGGATCTCCGGTACATTTCTCTTAATGGCATCGGTACCACAAAGAGATCGGTCGCACTTTGTCTGGTGCTTCTGGTAGCTCTATCCCTACAGTAGGTGAACATCCGGCGCATGTACGGCGGTAGTTGGTTGTTCAGGGCCTTATGTAGTAGGAGGGCTTTGTGATGTTTGTGGAGTGACTTTACGTCCATCCAACCCAGACGTAAGTGGACTTCGGCTGATGAAGTTAGATACGGGGCTCGTAGAATCAGCTTGCCAGCTCGGTTCTGCATCTTGATATCTGTTGGTAGCCTATTATTTGTGCTAACTTTTTATCCGCCATTGCACCTAGAGTGTGGCAGTTTGTTTTCGGGTTGGGGGTGGGGGCTATATGTCGGGGG